ACACTGACTTGAACATCGGCTCACTGCGAATGTACAAGTGGGAGTAGAATGCGTGCCGCGTCCCAAAAAGGAATCGATCAACGGCAAATGATTTATCCTTTTATCGGTTAAATTTCACCTCATTAGAAATTCAACCTCCTAAAGATAAGCAATGTATCAGGTGATTTTTGATTGACTAAATCCGTTCTCAGAACCGTTTCATGTTCAGGAGAGCACAGTGCGCCAGTACACTTCTAATCAGAACAACGTGAACACGACGATATCGCCGTTTGAGGAACTCTTCCAAAACTACGACAATATCATCACCTAGCACCTGCCGCGTTCGCTCGCTCACGTTGCCGTTGTTGTCTCAATTGCTCCGTGTTGTTTCCAAAGCTGCCAGTGCAGTGTTGCGCGCGTCCCTCCCGATGTACAGAGCCTTCCGCGCGCATGGTCGTGCGGTCCTTAGTGTTGTTTGGGCCTTGCCAATTCAGTTGTTGGCAGTGATTCAAGCTGTCCATGATGATGATTCGATCGCTCCCCATTTCTACCTTGTACAGATATCTTTCTCGTCCGATTATCATCCTCATTTTGTTGTCGCAACTCTATTCACTCGTTCCTCTTTTACTTCGTCGTTCCTTTAGCGTGAGTTTTGCTGCATTCTTCAGCTGTCCAGCGTCCTCCTCTCATTACAAATCTGAAGCATCATGTTGAATGTTTGTGACGAAGTTGAGAGCACTACCGTACTGCCTGCCAGCTGTCTGCCTGTCTGTCTGCCAGTAGTCAGTACGGCTAAAGAGAATCGCTCTGCGCTTACTGCTATTTATTCCTCTTTCCTTTGCGAGTACATCGTTTATCAATACGGATAGTAGGACGAGTTCTGCTGGTAGCACATTGTTCTCTAGTAATTGATCTTAGCTGAAGTAAGACGTCAAGAAATTGTTTTGGTTATAAGTCTTGTAAAGCAGTGTTGAGTTCATGAACAAGGTCAGTGTGTGCGTGTGTGTGCCTGCAGCACTCGTTTTGCCCTAGGCCCTGTGATTTAGAAGTGAATAGTCTTCGGGCACCCGATCACCTCCACAAGCCCAGCCTCCCTCAACCAACATCAATTCAACGTGTCCTTTGTTCCATACATATGTATATCTATCTATTTCGTATTTCCATTTTCTCCTTAGAAAAAAAGCACAAGTTCACCTTCATTTATGATATTGTTTTCGTCGTGCGTTGTTAATAGCATGCCGATTATTGTTTAGATATTCTATTTGAGCGACGACAATGATTCTGTTTTGTGCGTGATATCAGAGTGAGTTTACGTTGTCGTTATTCTGAAGAAGTTGATCCATGAAAATAAATGTTTATTAAAGTGACTCAACAACAGCAAGTCTTATTGTTAGATCAGTAACAAAAATACAAAGAAATGAGGCGTGATTCAAGGCAACATGAACGTGGATGAAAGGTGTTGCGTTTCGGTCCGTTTGTACCAGACCGTGACGATCGTCGAGAGGTAGGCCGCCCACAGTGTTGGTGGGTCATCGACATTGAAAGCAGAGTGCGAAGAAAGCCCCAGCGACGAATCCAACGCCAGCGATACAGGCTGGTCTGGAATGATCAGAACTTACGCGAAGGTTTTTGCATTTTCAGAACGGGGTTTTAACGGGTAGTTCTCCTTTCGCGAGTTACCGTAACACTCTAAAAGCCGGTACTACGATAAATAGGTTGTCCGATGGGAAGGAAAGTACCTCCCCTTCAAAAAGCCAGAAAGTGTCGGGTGCAGACCATACACCACAAGTGACGACGGCCTCCACAAAATGCAAATGTTTTTGCCAATGAAATGATTAACCTGTTGCAGTTGTATTCGATCAGTTGACACTAATTACAACTATCATTTACTAAAAATCAGCTATCACTATGAACCACTACTAACCAGATTTACTTGGAGGCCGTCGTCACTTGTGGTGTTATGGTCTGCACCGCACAATTTCTGGCTTTTTGAAAGGGAAGGGTACAGCCATTATCAGGAAGCCTGATTAGGAGTGCTCAGGGATTTGACATGGTGGCCCGTAATTGACAGGAGCTATTCAAGCAGGGTCAACCCTATGTTGCTACAAGTAGCAACGGGGGGTCGTACTTGGATGGACCCAGGGGGGGGGGTCGTACTCTCTCGGTGGCCGGCAGTAGGATTTGTGGTAATCTCCCTACTGATCATAACCATGTTTCAGGAAGAGCATGAGAAAGGAAGACTTGCAGAAACAGCAGCTGCAAGACATGTAGCATCGTTCAAAAAGTACTCCCATGACATGGGTCCACCACGAAACCACATTTGAAACTAAAGTGTAGCTGGAGTATTGCCTAAGACAACATGGACAATAGTCACCACATTACGTTTACGTAAGATAATTGATGCTAGAGCATCTGTAAGCCGCTTCCTTCTGAATGAGCTTTCAAATGAGTCAGCGAATCAGGAGTGCGACCGAGGCGTGGCGCACACCAAGGCAGGGGGAAATCAGTGCAAGCGCATGCACAAAGCATTCTAACACATCCTATGGTCAGCACGATCTTTTCCCTGGACGTTGCGGCCAGTGAAACCTAAAAAAAACCGCTTTCTTAAGAGAATGGCTCGGAGAATGCCCCTCAAAAAATGTAGCAACGGGACTAATTTTTGAATTACTCACTTTTAAAGAACGTTTGGGTACTTTTTAGAAAAGCTTGAATCCTGTAGTTTCTCATACCGGGTTCAGCTTCCCAAATAAATGAGTTTGAAGGAAGTTATGGTCGTTTAAAGGTTGAAAAGTCGCGGTTTCAGAAAAATAGTTCCGCGAACCCCCCTAAAATGTAGCAACGGGACTAATTTTTGAATTACTGACTTTTCAAAACGCTTGGGTACTTTTTAGAAAGCTTGAATCCTGTAGTTTCTCATACCGGTTCAGCTTCCCAAATGAATGACTTTGAAGGAAGTTATGATCGTTTAAAGGTTGAAAAGTCGCGTTTGCACAGAAAAAAGTTCCAACGTGCTAAATTTTTACTAAATTAGCTTTCGATGAATTTTCAGATATGATTGGAGAGAGAATGATTTGAATTTTTTATATCAAATAACTCCGCAAAAGATCGAATATGAAGAAAGTTATAGCCCGAAAAAGAGGAAGGTGGAAATTGTAGTGCAAACTCATTTCCTGCTCAATAACTTAATTATTTCAGATTGTTTAAGAACAAATCCGCTCCACTTGAGAAGGATGACCCTTCGGTGATCCAGAATCCACCTCCGTCTTGCGGAACCTGAAATTTTCCAAGGAAAAGTTCCTATACTTCTCGATTTCCCATTTCGACACCTGCTCCCATTCAACAAACGCGCCCCATTGCAGCACCCAGCGCGCGATTCAATACATTCGAAACCTGTCAACACGCGTTTCCACTACCTTCTCGGCATTCTCAATCATTTCCCCCACTTCTCCATAATATGACGCCACAACCCACCCGTTTTCTCCAGCGGAGAATGCTTAATGACGTACTCTGAATCTCCTATGAAAACTCACCAGTAGGATTTTGGGCACAATGTGGCTGGGGGGACTCTGTAGAAACGTCTCTGGGACTAAGCCTGCGCATTTTGTTTAGTCCTGGGACGGTAGTAAAGTGCCCTAGACTGGCATCAAATGTGGTGATTTACATCCATTGGCGAGGAGTAGAGAACGTGGAAACATGGACATGACCCTCGTTGAAACCGCGAGCCTCGCCACCCGACCTGCAAAACTTGCAACCTCTCGGAATTGAGCCCTGGATGGTAGGGCTCATAGGCTGGTTTTTTGCCACTGCACCAGGGATCACTCGACCACACCACTGGAAGAGATGTTGATGAAAGGTATGCAATGGATGTTGTTTGCAAATCTTAGTCTCCAAGCGGTGCTGATCCAGCAACCTTGCCAGCGGCAGCGTGGAACGTCCCCATTGAGCCAATGGCAATTTGCCATAGGCGAAGTGGTGAGCATCCACCACGTTGCTTGCAAAAGTCGCGTCACACACGGGTTTGAACCTTCGGTGCATCGTCCCATGAGCGGCATCGCTACCACTGCACTATGGAGCCCTTCTTATTGACGGTGAAAGATTCTAGAGGAAAGGCAATAACCCACAAAAGTTGCAAAACATTTTGACATCTAGTAGTATCGATCCCGTGGCCGGCTCAACACAAACGTGGACCGCAGGCGCTACACCATTGACGGATCAATGCAAGTTGCTTCCCTTTCCCTTTTCAACTTACTGCGTTGACCCACACAGCCTGGCTGTTTGGAGATGGCCATCTCTAAAAAGTCCTCCGGAGGACTTTTTAGAGATGAAGTGGCAGCATGTTTGCGCCCTCCACCGCGCGCGCACTATTTCCTTTTCCTCTGCCGCCATCGCTGTTAGTTTATAAATGACCACCCTGCTAATCCTCTTACTAGCACGTGATGTCATCACCCTAACTTCCAAGTAAGTTCGAACTCACTTCGACCATTCCGACGGGGAATCTTCGGAGGGGTTCCAGAGGTGCTCTACGCATCTTTTAGGGAGACATGGATGACCAAGTTACCACGAGCTCATGGTCACATGGTAACTAGCAGTTGAGGCCACTTTACTACCCGTCCCTGATCTCGTGAAGGATGTACTTCACTTTGATTAGTCCTGATCTCGTGAAGTTTGAAATGTTCTATTATTTTATACTTTTCCAGGGTGAAAAGAAACCTCATTATAGAGATAAAAGGAATAAAAAATTGGTATGAATTGTGTCTTCATAAAAATTAGACACAGGGGGGTCGTACCAAATCGCCCATGGAGGGGGGGTCGTAAAAAAATCCAGAATGTAGCAACGATAGGACCGACCTGCTCCCAGACCGGGTGTGCGTCAAATGGCGCGATCCCATTGGCATTGGAGCGCACAGGCCGCAATTGCCTCATCCTGCTGTGGCCGGACATCTCGTCCTCATCACTCAACTATCACACTTCAGTAACTGATCGATCTGATAAATTGGGTCTCCAAAACCTCGCTGAGTCCCAAAGCTGAGAAAAGAGCAGATACAGTTCTGGTGGCCTGACGCCAAGGTAGAGGAACGGAGCAGCAGGAGTTGTTCGGCCACAGCGAGGGTATGGACGGCGAGATATGGATTGTACGGTGGGCTTCCTTGAGCTCGACAGCGATGGCAGATTACGTCATATTCTAGGGACGATGAGGGTACTGAAGGAAGGCTGTTTCTGCTCATAGGGGCTCAGAAATGTTCTGCCTTAGAACTTCATCAACGGCGGTACCCTCTGCGATAAAAAGTTTGGTGGTGCGCCATGGGAGAAGTGTTTTTTGCCCCCCCCCCG